CCCCAAAAAAAAAAAAAAAAAAAATCCCCATTACACATCACGTGGGGCCCTTATTTTTTTATATATGGAGCGATGAGTCTTACTTTTAATCGATTCAAGAACACACCTTCTAAACTATCAACCGTAGTCGGGGCAGCAGCACCATCCTCATCCTCAATAATCCTGCAGGTGCATCTGACATTTGTGTTACTTTCAGCCTCAGTCTTCATACGCTCATATTCTCTCATTCTGGCTAATGCTTGATCTAAGTGAATCACAGTGTTACCTGCAATATGGAACAGAAATATTTCTAGAGGATATAAAAGCAAACTTTTTCATGTATTCCATAAAATTTATTAATAAAAAAATAATGTCTGAACATAGGTAAGAAAAACTACCTTTAACAAGTTCCAGATACTGTACTATTTGGGTACTTGGCATACACTATCACATTTACTTAATCCTTAAAATAACCCTATAAAGTAGATGATAGTACCCTCATTTTCACAGAACTTAAGTGACTGCCCAAGGTTTCACAGCCAGTTAAATACAGAATCAAGAATTGGAACCCAGGTCTCTCAGACTCTCAAGTCCATGAATACTTGGGTATAGTTTGATGTGCTACGTTCTGGAAAATGAATCAGGCACCTGGGCATCTTTCTTTTCTCTAATTTCCTTTCCAAATTTAGGACTTGGGTTTTTTTCTCTCTGACCTATGCAACCCTCTAAACTTTTGTTTTACTACTGATGTAAAAAAATGCAATGTGCCATGCCTCAGAGTTACCTGGGTTTCCCACTATAAATTATATATGCTAACAAATTTCAGTTCTTACCCAAATTATGAAGTTAACATTTTTATTGAAGACGTGATTGGATAAGGCATTGCTACCTCTGAATTTTTCCTACTAATTAACTGGAAGATCTTAAAGGATGACCTTGAAGGGAAAGGAAATTAACATTCTCTGAACTTCTATTAGGCATGCTAGAGAGTTCTGTGTATTTTTCACAAGAACACAGCAAGGTAAATAGGACCCCATTTCCTTAGTATATGCAGAGTCAGAAAGGTTAGATGATTTGCCCAAAGTCAAAGAGTTAACAATTCTTGAATTTAGACTGATGGATGGATAGACTTTTAAGTCCATGTTCTTTCCACCACATCTTGCCTTTCTAGACTTTTGTTTCCTTATCAATGCCATTCAACGACTATATTAAAGTTGTGTTCTAAGATTATAAAAATTTCGCTTACCCAGATCATCTGTTGCAAAAGGCTCAAAATTTGAAGATACAGACATGACACTAGCATTATCAGCATCATTTTGCTCACTTATTTTATGTGTTTCTCTCTCAAAGTTCTTCTCAAAAGTTTCCTAAGTTATAGTTTAAAAAAACAAATAAAAGTCACTAATACTTCTTTTAAAATTTTATGATTAATATTAAAAATTTAACATAGAAATTAAGTATTTGCATAAAACACTTAAAACTGTGATATAATGAAAGTTATAAAAAGTTGAATACAGAGTCACAGAGAATATTAAAATATTAAGTAACCTTGCAGAACACTTTGTCATTATGGAGATGAAAATACACAGGCCCAGCTACTAATTAAATTCTATCTTGGAAAAGGTAACATTATTTCTACACCATCAGAGAAACTCTATCTTCAAACTCTAACAATGCCTAGTACCTTACTATGATATCTGGTTGTCTCAGAAGAAAAACATGACAGCATCATTCATATTTTTTAAAATTAACTTTATTGAAATATAATTTACATACAATGCACCCATTAAGTGTACAGTCTGATGAGTTTTGAAAAATATATGCACCAACGCAACCATCTTTCCTAAATATAAAGACCATTTCCACCAGCCCAGAGAGTTCCTTTGTATCCTCTACACCCCATTCATATGATTTCTATTACCACACATTAGTTTTGCTGGTTCTAGAGCTTTATATAAAATGGAACCACTCATTATATACTCTTCGGTGTCTGGCTTCTTTCACTCAGTATGTTTCTGAAATTAATCCATGTTGTTGTGTGTTTCAGAAGTTCATTATTTTTTAATGGCTGAAATAGTATTCCATTGTATGGATATACCACCGTTTGTTTATCCATTTATCTGCTGATGTTCCAGTTTGAGGCTATCATGACTAAAGATCCTACGAACATTAGTGTACAAGTATTTGTGGACATGTTTTCATTTCTCTTGGATGAGTACCTAGAAGAGAAATTGCTGGGTCACATGCCAAGTTTATGTTTAACTTTATAAGAAACTGCCAAACTGCTTTCCAAAGTGGCTGTACAATTTTTACAATCCTACAAGCAGTATGAGAGTTCCAACTGCTCCAAATTCACACCAATACTTCTTATTGTCAATCTTTTAAATTTCAGCCTTTCTAGTGGATGTGAGATAGTACCTCACGTAGTTCTGATGTGCACACTGGTCATTTATATATCTTCTTATGTGAAGCATATGTTCAAATCTCTTGCCCATTTTTTTTGAGTTGATTTCTTACAACTGAGTTATAAAAGTTCCTTATATAGTCAGGATTTGTCTTTTACACAGTCATTTGCCAGATATATGTACTGAGGTTGTTTTCTCCTAAAGGTATCTTTTGAAAAGCAGAAAGATTTTATTTTTATGAAGGCTGATTTATCAATTTTTTTCTTTTCGTATTTAGTGCTGTGTCCTACGAAATCTCTGCTTATGTCAAAATCATGGTGATTTTGTTTTCTTTTAGAAGTTTCATAGTTTTAACTTTTCCAGGACTGTAAATAGTTTCAAATTAATTTTTGTGTATAGCGTGATTAGGAGAGAGCCTCAATTATATTTTGACTGTAACTCATTTCACAATTGTGTTCTTTCCTAGCTACTGATCTTTTAAAGTTTTCTCTTAAATTATGAAATGACAGGTTTGTCCCTGATTAAAGGAAATGCAGGCATTAGGGAACATGTTTTAAGAAATGGAACCATTTTGCTACTCCTTTAAGTAAGACTTGAAGGTAGATGTGCCTTTGCCATTTTATAGCACTCTGGAGTAGAAGATGCAAATTGTTTCTTCCTCTTCCTAAATCTCAATTCCTCAACCTCCTTGACTATAATCCCCATATGTCTACTTTAATTCTCTCTTTCACGGCATGAAGACTTTTACACGCTCTGAAAGGTATGTGTAAAAGCTCCATAAATGGAACTCAAAGGACCTTGGCCTAGATACATGGAGAATGAGACTCTATATCCATCCAGTATGGTAACCACTAGCCCTGCAGCTATTTAAATAAAATTTAAAATTTAGTTCCTCAATTCCAATAGTCACATTTCAAGTGCTCGATAGCCACATGTGGCTAACAGGTACTGTATTAGACAATGAAGATATAAGACATTTCCATCACTGTAGAAAGTTCTACTGGATAGCACTGCTCTAGATCTGCTAAGACACCTTCTTATAAAGTATTACGGTATCTTTAAATTTTAACTTTAAAACCTTGTCAGGTTAACTTTATCATAAATTGCAGCTCAATTTTCAAAATTTACTGTTGATGATGCAAACCAATGGGCTCAAATCCTTTAAAATAATTGGAAGTAATGCCGCCTATCTGAAATTTGGATAAAAAGAAAGGCACTGGAGTTAAGGCTATAAAATTACTAAAAAAGATTTCTAAGAACAGACACTCTTCATGCTCCCTCAGTAAGTTATTTCAGTGCCTAATCAACTTAAATGTAACCTAGTAGCTCCTATTTTTTATGTATACAGCTGGACCACCTTTCATCTCCCATGAAAAAAGAGAACACAGTTTTCAATTAGTTAAAATAACAATTAATCCCAAGTAGCAATTAGTTACATTAATTTGTATTTGCTATTATAAAGTCAACCAAAACCATGTAGTTCTTGCACACAGGTTTATGTTCATAGTAGTATAGGAGTTGGAGCCTAGTGAAGAAAAGTTTTAAGCAGAAAAGATGACTTGGGAAAGCATTGTTTTAAACATGAGTAAAATAAAAGAGCAAAAATTGAGAAAAAGTCCTCAATAATTGTAAGGAAATGACTATACATGAAGAAGAGAAGATGACCTTTTTGAGAAAACACTGTCTTTTCAGAAAAAAACGTATGTTATCATATTAACAATGGGCAGAAACACAGTAGTATGCTTCCAACTCTATACCTATAGCAGGTATTTGCTAATCAATTATGACACTCTTATCCATGAATATCCAGGTGCTGAAGTTGGTATAAAAAAGAATGTACTGGGCTTCCCTGGTGGTGCAGTGGTTGAGAGTCTGCCTGCCGATGCAGGGGACACAGGTTTGTGCCCCGGTCCGGGAAGATCCCACATGCCGCGGAGCGGCTGGGCCCATAAGCCATGGCCGTTGAGCCTGTGCGTCAGGAGCCTATGCTCCGCAACGGGAGAGGCCACAACAGTGAGGCCCGTGTACCGCAAAAAAAAAATAATAATAAATAAATAAAAATAAAATAAAAAAGAATGTACTTGTTATCCCAGGACCACATATAATCTTTTACAACAGAATCAGGGTCTGAACCTTTACATAGGTGATTTCAAATGCCTAGTTCATTATCTCCTCAGTATCCTCGTAGTTTGCCATACAGTCATCCAATCCACTATGTGTGAGGTAGGTGTTATTTGGAGGACACAGTTTATTGAAAATATACATTTTCCTCACCACTCTTTTCCATTTCCAGGCCCTTTTTACTTTACTCAAAAATTTCTTCATCAATTTTAATATATTAAATTACATTTTCTTCCAGGCTTTCTTTTGTCTAGGCTTCTCTTCTAACTCAAAGACTAACTCAATTTATCTTGTATTTACTCAAGCGTTCATTGATCTAACTGCTGTCTGGTTTACTCAATGTCTTGAACGAAGACAACAATTTTTACTGAGTGTCTATTATGACTCAACTCCTATGTTGGACAAAGGAGATATAAATATGGCTATTTCAGACCTTATAACTTATTAATTTTTGGTGTTTGACTGCTGTCATATTGTGACTGAATTTTATACCTCACCTCAAAATAAAGCAATACACTACACTCAGCTTTTTAAAAAAGCTAAAAAACAAATATATTAGGTATACTCACAATTTATTAACAGTCTACTTAACTTTTGTTAGCTGTATACTGAAATTATGTCTACAATTTCATTAATCATTATCAGCTTACATCATCAGTAGTAGCAAGGCTTTCACTGGGAGTAAGTTCTGAGTTTGATGCTATCCAAGTACCAGAATTCACTGACTTTACATTTTCCCCTTCTTTTTCATGGTTCTCAGAAATATGTCTGGATACTATGTCCTAAATAAGGAAATAAGATAGCTATGAAAAACATCTGTGTTTAATCACAAAATTAAAAGTAGAAGTAGATACCAGAACAAATGCAATACTCCTGACCTCAAAGGTTAACTATGAGGAAGACATAACATTTAGGATAAAACACTAAAAAACTGCTCAGAAAAAGACTTTATCTAAAGCTACCTAAGCTATATAAGATTATTAAAATGGCATGGAAATACATAAAAAAACAGATCAAAATACTTATGGAACAAGGACATACTTCAGTCTAAGAAAGTAACCAGACAGAATGGTGAAAAATGGCAGTACCAGAAAGTGTAGGGGAAAAAATGTTAGGTACTGGATACCTGCAATGCATATAAAGCCCTCTGTCTCAAATAGTCTGTATTCAGTAGCTGAAGTTCATGGAAGAGTTCAATAAGAAAATGTGGACGAGATTCATTTTGAGAAATCAACGTAGCTACTTCAGAATAAATGGTATCCCGCAAAGCTTCAAACATGGAAAAATCACTCCCGGTTTCTGGAAGATATAAAAAGATCAGGAAGTTAATATTGATGAAATACATTCCTATTTCTTTTAACTTGCAACATTACTCTCACCTTTAAACTACTTAAAACACAATTCTATTTCAGAGCTTTTAAAGTAGAATAAAAATCTTAAAATTACCAAGAAAAAAATAATCTTAAAAATATCAAGATATACACTAAATATTTACTAGAGAAATAACATTACTTAGATTACTTAGAGCAAAGTTATTTCTCAATGGAAAATTTTACACATTTCATAGGAATAATCAGTGGAAATTTTTCAGCACTTGAATGAAATAAGCAAATTGCAAATAATTTTCTTTTTTTGCTAATACGAACTTTTTTACAAAAAAGGAAATTCGTTTACTTTGTTAATGTTGAGAACAAACTAAATGCTGCCAAGGAAACATACTATTTTACGGCTTATCTAGTTAGGTCTACTGATTCTCAAATCTCTGCAATCATGCTGTATTGATGAAAAACTGAATTTTTAACTATAACAAAATAGGTCAATTTTACTACAGGGTCTTACTGAAATCATTATAACTTGGAGCAAGCAGTGAGGCTAATGAAGTTTTCAGTTTCACAGAATCTAGGCATCATTCTATTATTCAGCAACAATTCTGCTACATATATTTGTTTATAGCAAAGAATTATCACCCTTAAAGGTATACACTCATACCTTTACTTTAAAGCGCACAAATTAGGAATTCTTCCCATTTTGAGTTCTCTACGGAAAAAAAAAAAAATTTCCCAGTGTTCTTCTAGCTATCGAATTCTGTAAACTTTCTAGAGTAATAGTAGAACCACAAGCAGCTAAATATTCAAGTTCTACAAAAATCAGTGACAAGTTTTCAAGAAAGGGAATTTGAAATGTTGAGTGTTTTAATATATTGTGCTTTCAAATAAACATGCAAAGATCATTAAGATTTTAAAAATTCACTTTTTGCAAGAGAGAAATTTTAAAAATGCAAAGCAAATGTGGTTTAATGAAAAAACTTTCCATTAATTTACTAGGCAAATTAACATCCTCAGGCCTCAATTTCCACAAGTATAAAATAATAAGGGTAATAAATATGCAACTTCCCTATCTTGCCTCAGACATTTATGAGTATAAAATGAAATGATACACTAAAATTCTCTTAGTAGTTTGAAAATGTTCAAATGCGCTATGTTACTATAAAAATATTTACTATGAGCAGGAACCAGAACTATCTCTGTAGGAAATCTCTATTTATAGGAAAAATCCAGGTAAGAAGATGGGATGTCACACAAACTTACCCAATTTATACACTATATTGTAGTTTGATCAGTTGTTTTAGAAAAAGTTTTAAAGATATAAGAACAAAGCATATTTAATTACCTCTGTATGTGATAAAATTATCACTCTAAATTATATACCAGTAAAGATTAAATTATTCCCGAATAATGAATTATGCCAAACATATGCTTCATCCCTCCCACCTACAATAGAAAAGTGGAAAGTTTTTGCCAGTTTCTCCTCCAGGACTAGTTTAGGCTAGAAACCTAGCATTAGTTTAGGCTAGAAAAATCCTTGATCTCAGCCAGATTTGTCTGACTCCATCTTGTTTTTATCCTACTTTCAGAGTTCTTTTCTTTAGGAAGTACCACTGATACATTTAGCTTCCTCCATGCTAGGTCCTTGTTTTTTTTGTTTTCTTTAAATTCCCCTAGAGGTTCATACAGGCTTTTCTTTTTTACTCATGTATAGCACAGGAGGCATTAAAGAATATTTACAATTCTAAATCATACAGAACCATGTCTAAAGAAAATTCATAGTTTAAGGACAAAAATAGCATTCTGCAATTTTCCATGATCTTTATTTATCATGGTCTTTGCATGTCATAGTTGTTTTTGTTCAACGGTTTATTTTTTTATACATGTTGACTGGTAAGGAAAAATAAGAACTACAACAGAAGTCATACACAATACTTAACACTGTAAATCAGAGCTAAGAATAAAAGTAACTATATTTTTGTTTCCAAAAAATATTAATGCTCGTAAGCATTTAAAGAATACAGATAAATAACTTCAACTAAAACACTAAATTATAAAAACATTTTCTATTACCTACATGAATGTGTTGGTTATGTTACATACACTAACAGAAAATGAAAATAAGAAAAGCAGCCAATTTTACCAACCAAGTGAAGAATTATAAATGAAAACCTTCAGAATTTAGTAAGTATGAATTCTTTCTCTTTTACCAGCCAAATAACACATACACACTAAACTAAATCTAAAAAAGTAATTAGAACAATAAAACTAAGGACTTTTAGGACCAATGGAAGAATTAACAAAAAGTGGACACCAAATCTAAGCAGATTGTTACCTGGCGCTTCATTGCATGCATTTCTGTTAGACTGCTGTAGTATTCTCCTAGCATGTGCTGTAGGAAAGGGCAGACATAAGGATGAACATAAAATGTGTATAAATAGTAAAGACAGGGTCTGTAACATGAATAAATGAATGAAAAAAAGAAATAAGCAAATTTCTTTAAAATCGTTTGCCTGAACTGAAATGTTATCACAAGGTATGGTTTATGCTCTGTTTAAAAATAATCTCTCTTCAGGGAAAATATCAAAAGATCTGCTATAAACTTGTGTTGATGTGACTGATGATGACTATCATAATAAACTTCTACCATTCACTCTGAGAAGCATACACATCAAAGGGAACCTCCCACAACCCCCAAGGGAGAAGAGGACTGTATACAATTCAATACTAGCAGCCGTATATGCTACAATCTAATGATCATATAACAAAAACTACTCTTACGTGCCATAAAGAATTTTAGGGTAATGGTTAAAACTATAACTGTCTTTTTAGAAAAGAGGAATATTTATATTATTCAAACATATTTTAGTTCACCAAAATTTGATGGTTATATGTTTCTAAGTGACAGTAATAAGATCTGAAGTACTATGACCAACTATCAATGATTTAGGTAACTGACATCTAAGCTATTAAGCCTATCAATTTAGTGCCTTTCTCCAACCTCCACCCAACTGTTTATTGTTTGAAGACATCAGTATTTGATAAAGATAGTGAAAGGAGATGGAAACTACAAAACTTTGGTAAAATGCTAGGGTCAGAACAATAGAATTGATATGTTTGACAAAAGGATCTTGGACTTAACAGGAGACCAGGATTGAAACTTCGGTTCTACCATCTGCTAGCAATACAACCTTGAGGAGGTCATTTCAAAATATGAATAAATGTGATGCTTTTCTGATTACAAAAGTAATAAATACTCTATAAGTTTTAGAAAATATAGAGGAGTTTAAAGATAATAAAACCACTATTAACATTCTGATGCATTCTCTTCCAGCTTTTTTATCCAGATTTTTGTTTAAAATAGTTGGAATCATAATGTTCAGTTAACACCTAAATCCCAATTTCTTCTTTTCACTTTTGTTTCCTTAGGATGGATGCCTACAAGTACTGGGTTAAGGACATGACATTTTTCCCAAAAAACTGTACCAGTTTATACTACTGGTCCTTTATGAGCACTGGGAAAAAACAGGCACCCCCTCTGATCATGTTTCCTCTTCTGCAAAATGAAAATAAAATGAATTCAAACGATTATGAGGCTCAAATGAGATGAGTAATTTGTTTAGTTTGTAAACAGTAAAGCATACTACAAATGGTAGCTACTGTTATCATTTTCACCAAGGGTCTACTGACAACTGAAAATTTAGTCTACATTTACTGCCTCCCTCTCCATATTTCTTTGAGACGTACTTATTCTTTATAAATCAGGGACGTGCCAGTATTTACTTAAACTAAAATGGCGGCAAATACTTATGACTCCATTCATTCAATAAACACTCACTGAGTGCCTACCATGTGTCAGGTTCCATGCTAACATTTAAGATACAAATATGAAAAAATATTATCTACTGCCAAAGGAACCAAAAAGGTGATACAGACACTTAAACGAGTAAATACTACATAATGTGATACAGGCAACAAAAGAGGTTTACACAGGCTATGACAGAAAAACAAAAAGGAGAAAGGGTAACCTCTCCCAGCTTGGATTTGGATACAATTCCAGAGCTGCAGAATTAAGATTTTATTTAAGAGCCAGCAGAGACAAAGGCAAACAAAGAGCAAAAAGGACTTGAGGCAGGAAGGACAACTGCTGAGGTAAGACAACTACTGAGGTGGCTATGGGAAAACTTCAGTTCAGTGCCACTGAAAGAGTCAAGTTCAAGGCACAGGGTGTGGAAATGAGTCTGGAGAGGCAGGAAGGAATCAAATCTCTGCTGGTCAGATATGTTACATTGAGGCATCTGGACTTTCTCCTGCAGGCACGGTGAAGGCCAAAGATTTTAAGCAGGGGAATGATGTGATTTTATATCCAACTCTTATTCAGATAATATTTTCAGAATTTCAAATTAGGAGTACCAAATTAATGTCAACTATACTTGTTCATTCCGAATTTTATCAAAATGCATCAAAAGATAGTATCACAATAACAATAAAATATATTTCCAGTTTACACTTCTTGATATCAAGAACTGTGGACTGTAAACTCTACTATAAAACCTTTCACATGATGGAAAAGTGTGGTGGATGAATTTTAAGCTTGTTTTAATATAGCTTTTCAAATCTAAGGTGAAGAAGTCCTTAAATTAAAACAAACCAAAAAAAGAACATACCTGAAGATATTTCTGTAGACCTACTATATCTTATTACTTTTTCCAGCTGCTCATGATTCTTTCTGCTGAATACTTTTGCTTGAACAGGCTCTTCAGTCTGGGCTGAATGTCTGTTCCTACTTTTGCAAGGTTCACATGTGCTAGACATACTGGCACTTTCATACCCTTGAGTAAAAAAAGTGACAACTGTTATCAGTTGCAACTAACTCAAACTGAAAGGGAAATTGATTTCCATAATGAAACAGTACAGGTCACTCAATTTAGAATGCTGTGAAGGCCTGGTATAACTAGAAATCAAAATAGTAAATAGTATGTTTCAGAAAAATCTTTGCGATAACCTTTGTAGGCATAGAATAACAGTAATAAATTCTAACACTTCATTGTCCTTCGATATTCATCTCAATGAACACATCCCAACTCAAACTACATGGTAGACCTTATATAACCCAAATTCTCTACTAGACTCCAAGCTAACAATTTTTCAGTATTAGGAAATACAAGAAAGAATCACATCTAATCTATATATGTCCATGATAGACAGAAGAATAAGGGACATTAAATAATCAGATGTCTGCTTTTGTATACCTTTTGTTTAATATGACTTGGTATAAAGCCTTCCCCACCCATAGGTTATACATATATTCTATTAACTCTTCTGAGTTTTGGTATTAATCTTTTTTTCAGTTACTTTTCGGCATCTAGCACAAGGTAGGAATTCAACTTTATTTTGTTCCACATGGATAGTTGGTTACACCTAACCTTTTCCCACTGAATTAAAATGCAACCTTGGTCAATATATTAAATCTCCACATTTATTGGGTTTTATTTCTGGGCATTCCATCTGTTTAACTTATCTATTCCAATGCCACAGAAGTTCTACACTATGTTTAAACACCTGGTAAGACAAGTCCTATCTAGCTTCTTTTCTTAGCTATTTTTGGACACTGGTCCTTCCACAGAAGTTTTCAGATCTTTTTCCCCCAATTTCAAAAACAATCCATGAGGATTCAAAATAGAAACACATTAAAAGTATTTATTAATTTGAGGAGAATTTACTTATTTTTAAATATTTATTTATATATTTATTTGGCTATGCCAGGTCTTAGCTGCAGCACAGGGGATCATTGTTGCAGCGTGCGGAATCTTTAGTTGCAATTTTATAAACTGTAACTTAAGAACATAGTTATGCTTTTATATTTGCTTAATCTTGTTTCGTGTTCTTCAAAAAAATTTTTATAGATCTCGTACATTTCTTGTTAAATTTATTCCTAAGGATTTTTGGTCCCAGTAACTTTGGATACTACTATGAAAAGAATACTCCCTGCCACTTCCATTTCTACTGGGTATTACTATGATAGAGAAAAATATTTACACACTTATTTCATAATCTTATTTCATAATTACTTTACTAACTTAGCTAACTTAGGTAGCTATTTTCCAGTGTCTCTCGGGCTAGCTTAGAAAATATATAAAATTTGTTTCCCTTTTCAAATATTTATTCCAATCATTTAATCTTGTCATAATACTTTCCAACCAATGCTAAATAATGATGGTGGTAGAGAGGGAATCCCTGTTAATTCCTAATTTTGATAGAGATATCTCTGGAGTATTTTCATTTACAATAGTGCTTATAAGTGGCATCAGCTAACAGCCTTTATTATATTTAAATAACTGCCTCTCTTTCTAGGTGCATTTTCATTAGGAATGACTTAAAATTTTATCTAACCTACCACTATGATTACATGACTTCTGTCCTGTAATGTGGTTGATATAATCAATTATGTTGACAGATTTCCTGATAATAAATCACGATTACATTTCTGTAATAAACCTGCTGACAACAGTCTAATACTCTTTTCATATACTGGCAGGTTAAATTTGCTAGTATTTTACTTTTGAATTTACATTAATAGCTGAGATTAAACTACTGCTTTCTTTACTGAACTGTTACCTCTCCTTTTCACCTTCCCTTATATAAAGGTCTCTATCTGATTCATATGTTGTCTCTATAGTTTTCTTCAGATAGAATACACCAGTATCTTCTTTCAGCTTGACAGGTGAAGAGTCTCTTGTCGGAAAGTAGGATTCTTGAGTTGTAGTCCCTTTTTGTCCACGAATGGATGTCATTTCACTTCTACTTTTTTAGGTTTTAAGTAAGACTGTCTGATGTCAGTTTGGTTTTTTCTTTATATGTAACTTGTTCTTCCAACCTGGAAGCTTAGAGGATTTTTACTTTTTCCTCGGAATCCAGGAACTGTATCAGTCTATACACAGTGGAGAAGGGGTGTGTACTTTCCGTGCCTCCTGGCTGGGCAACAGTCAGCTATTTTGATCTGCGGTCTTGAGTCTTTCTTCATTAAAGATTCCCCTTTATTATTTGTTGAATTACTGCCTCTCCACTTTTTTTTTTTTCTCCTTCAGAACTCCTTGTATATCAGATCTCCAAGATTTGTCCTTAAGCCTCTAATCATTTCCCTCTTTATTTTATCTCTTAGTACTTTTTGCTCTGTGTAATGACATAGTTCTTCCTTTTAATTTTCTAGGCCAGTAATTTGGAACTTAATAGCATTTGTTCTCTTTTTCAAATAATCTAAACATTGAATGTGAAAATCATTTTTTCTAGTTCTCAAGAATTTATGTTATAATTCAATCTGCTTTTTAAAAATAATTCAATCTGCTTAAGTATTCTTATCATTTTGCTCAAGTATTTCCTTCAATAATTCTGTTTTTACTAAATTTTACCTGTTCTAGTGGTCTGCTTCTATGACTTCTCTCTGGCTGCTGGTCCCTTTTATGTGCACTGTTATGTTCACTGGGTTAGCCCCGACTCTTACCTACCCTTCAGGCTGGACCCGACTGCTGGGCAGCTTTAATGGCAGCACGCTGGCAGTGCTTGGAAGCCTCATGCCCATGGTGGAGCAATGGTCTGGCTGGCAAGCTGTCAGCCTCCCATCAAGACGATGAAGAAGGAAGCCTCTCGACCCCTCAGGCTCCTCAGCTGCAAAGGTAAATGCTTTACCATGTTCAGCGTAGGTAGGATGCCTCCTCTTTTTTCAGTGACACCTTTCCCATTAGTACTTTGAAGTGGCAAAAGACTGCTACTCTTGGAAGGGAGGGAAGCGCCCTCCCCGTGGAAGGAGGGGTTGCATGGATCTCCTCCAACCAAGTTTTCTCTAAGAAGCACAGGGCTCTGATTTTTGCTCACTCTGAAAGAGCCAGCAGAACCTAAAGCCTTGCTGCTTATCTCTCTAGATCACAACAGCTGCTCTGTTAATAACAAATTAGTTCCCAATATACTGTCAAATTATTCTCTGTAATATCCTATCTGGATTCAACTTCCCTTTCTTTCTCTAAGGCCATCATTCAAGTTAGGACTTCATCATCTCATGTATAGGTTCCTGATTTCTTTGTTGGTCTCTCAGACTCTCAAGCCACTCTCATTCATTCTGCATGAAACTTACCAGAAAAAGAGCCCTGTTGGTTACTTTGGAATATTACATAAAAAGCAATAAAAGGTATGATTGCCAAGAGTAATATGTAAAATTATATAAATGGTAGTACTATTGCTTATTTAATTAACAGCAAACATAGCTCTGAAGAAGATAAAGTATGTTATTCTAACAAGAACATTTATATAAATGAAATTAAGCGTCTAACTGCTGTTACTGAATCATGTGAAAAGTGCTGAATGGATTCTAATCAAAATTAAAATATATATTATGCAGCATACACAAAATTCTCTTTAGGGAGCCCCAGTAGTAAGGGAAAAAAAAAAACAGTCAGTCATCTTCCAAAAGAGCTAAGACTGTGAAGAGAAGCATGCTATAATTTTTAAGATGCTATAAAAAGAGGGGAAAAAACCCCCATGGTTTTACATGAGTCCCAATTTAAAAATATCAAGGGCTAGATTTCCAAAGTTAAGGTACTACTGTTGATTTGCTTCTCTTTGGCACACTTTAATAGTAATCCTCCAGGGAAAGTAGAAGATTTAATGAAAGTCAGTAATACTTCAGAGTAACACTGGCCAGGCCAGCTGATATAACAACAGCAACAACGACATATGATGGTCATTATTATAAGGGGGTTATCTCCTGTCTTTCTCAGCACAAGTGGCTGACAGAGCTGGAAGAAACAGTGTTTCTAGTTGTGTCTCCAATACAGGGAAACAGCTCAGCCACAGCACCCTGGAGACCTTCCATATACCTACACAGGTCACACTGGGAAGGACTGAACCGTCACTGAATCTAAGTCTTGGCGGAAGGCCTTATGATTTTCCTCTCTTTCCCCTGAAAGGCTGTCATGAGAGAACTTCTCATCTCCTCCTGGGCTCTGATGAAATCATGAGACCAGTTCGCCTCACCCCGAGGGTACATCTCCATTCTCGACTGTGGCTTAGCTACAGCACAGCATTGGCTCCTAGGCTACAGGGTGCCCCACCACTCATGATGCAACTATCATCTGGCCCCTTCTGTTTCAGCGTCGCCCTTGTGGTGAGTGGAATAAGGGACAAAGGGAGCTGGCACCTTTGGCTACCCTTCCTTTTTCTGACTTCATTAAATAATAAACTCTGAATCTAAAATGGGCCACATCTGTCAGGGCTTATCTTGCCTAATGCGAGACATCCATTTTATCTCAATCTTCATTAGTGAGCAAGAAGAGTGGGGGAAGAAAGAAACGAAAAGATTCAGGGCTGGGTGGAACCCAGAAGTCAGTATACTAACAGTCTCATCCAATTTCCCAAGACAAGAATGAGGACCATCTAGACTATATGCTTCTACTCCTCTCTAATACCATCAAAAGAGGAAATGGGTCTGGTAGAGTGTAGCCAAATTATGGGTCTGTAAACCAAGTCATATGTCTGATAACTCAAGTACCCAGCAAGGCAAGAAGTCATGCTCAACTCATAAAGTCTGAATTTGAACTGAAGCTTAAAAGATAATTAGCACATAATTTGTAAAATCTTACTTTGCATGCAATAATATGTATCTTTATATATAAAGACCTTCTAAAGATTACCATCATTGGTACATTATCATCCTGTGAAACAAAGTTAAATGAAGATTTAGCATGCTACTTCTGAAAGACTGTCAACATGTGCAAAGAACATAGAAACAGCTCAAATTTGGAACAGTATATAACTGGCTGTACTATATCTTTTAAGACAGCAACTTAAGTCCCACTGTGCTGGCCTATTTGTCATATCCTATTTACTTCCCCAGTTCTCTCATCTTCTTTTCTTGCTTCACCCTGACTCTATATTACTTTTCCTATTGTTACTACAATTTGGAATGCTTTCCAATCTTCCCTCCATCGACCTCCATTCCTACTTCCTTTAAGACAGAGTAAACATTCTTTCTTCTAAGAAATCAAGGCTATTCCTATCCCACAAAGAGAACAAACACAACATAAATTAGTGGTCTAGCTCAGTACTTCTCAGACTTTAATGTGCATATATTCGTATTAAAACATCGGGAATCTTGCTAATATGCAAACTGAAAAACAATGTGTACTGATTCAGTTGGTATAAGGTGGGGCCCAAGAGTCTGCATTTCTAATAAGCTCCCAGATGATGCGGATGCTGCCTGTCCATGGTTCACATTCTGCATAGCAAGGACTTAGCTCATTTGATTTTGCTACATATTATTTTGACTCTGCATATATTAGTTCGGTTCTGCTATCAGGTCTTTTACCTTTGTGTGTGCACCTTAAAGTGGAGCTCCCATTAACAGATGGTCTTAAAGCCCTCTTGAACAAGTGTGAATGTGCATTCTTGGCAAGTATTTTTATACTGAAGTATGAGAAAAGAGAGCAAATAGATCAGAATGTCAATCTTTGCCTTGAAGTAAAAGAAAAGCTGAATTGTATATCTGGAACCATAATTCTTCAGAATAAAGGGGTTTCAAAAATACAAATACACCAGGATTTCTAGGCTCAGGCAGACATGGCCATATGCTGGCTGAGTGCCCTCTAAGACCCTGCTACTCAAACTGTAGTCCACAGACTACACTGTCAATGCTGATCAACAACGCATGGAGAACTTGTTAGAAATGCAGACTATCAGGTCCCTCCTCAGACTGACGGAATCAGGCTCTGACTTTAAGCAAGATTCCCAAGGAGATTTGTATGAAACATTATCAAGTTCAAGACGCACTGCCCTAGCACACTCAAAATAACCAGCTGAATGAGAGAATGCTGGGATAACAAAGGTTAGTTTCTTTCCATTTACTCATATGACAAAAAGCATTTTGTTGGAGCAACTACGTTAATAAGAAGTTCAGAGTTACCCCGAGGGCCTCTCTCAAAATGGTCACTATCTACTTAAATCCTCTCTAGTGGCACCAAGAGTGACCATGGAGAAGGCATCGTAGTTGTATTTTCATTCATTTGAATGGTTTCAGATCACTAATCTACTAAGTAATCAGCTCCTCCCAAACCTAAATAACTGAAAAATTATTTCAAGGATGATAATGTGTATGCTGAGAAAAATGTTACCCCTGTTCACATTTGCTTGTTTAACCATGAAATCAGATTCTTCACATGGGAGTAGGAGTAGCAGCCCAGGACTTTAGGAAACATGAGGTAATGAAATGAAAAAAACCGCACACGTATTCTTTTTCACATCCATAGTTTTCATCAGATTTTTCAAGGGTTCCATTATCCAAAGATGGCTGAGATGAATGCTACCAAAGCTTACAAGTGGATTTTTAACTGCAGAGTGTCCCAGGACCTTTACTACACTTATAATGTACTGTGAGCTTCCAAGAGAGGAAGTTAGTAGGTGCAGTGAGTTTTCACAATTTTCTGATTATAAGCCTAGAATATTTTGCTCTTAAGCACCAAATACTATCTCCTTGAACGCAGAACAACCTTTCAAGGCCACAGCCAAAAAGTGTCCCTTGCAAACTGGAAGGAGCATCCTTTAACTATAATATTCCAGATTTTAGCTAGTAAATCAATTTTTAACCAGTGTTAGACTTCACTAAGTTCTTCAAAAATCATAAAAAATCTATTATTTTAAAAAGTGCCATGAAATGAACACTATAAAGAGAACTCTGATATTATACTCAATGACAAGATTCAATAAAATATGGATTAATGTTTTCTCCTACTAACTAAGGTCCAGTTCCTGAAGGACTAAGAGCAAACTTGTTCTAAAAGTGACTTCACCTACATGATATCCAAAGACTGCAGTGTAGTCAGAGGCCCGCATTTCTTTAAATGAACCCATCGCGGATCTAGCCAGAAGTCACCAACGAGGTCTTGCACATAATATTAAACGAGAGAACAGTAAAAGTTCCGAGCTCATAGGAACATAGTAAGAAGTTTTAAGAAGCACAAAAAAGAATAAATGCCATGTTTTAAAATATCTACACCATTAAACCCTATTTGATAAATTTTATTTAAAAAGTTCTCAAAGGTAACTAAAAATGACTTTGTTCAGGTGGGTCTACAACAGTGCCTCCTCAACAGCCACACTGAAATGATACACACCAACATGTGAGAGTAAGCGTACCAACATTTATGCTGATCAAGTCAACAAATTTCAGTACTTACCAATATTTTTAACTCTGCTTTTCAGCTGAGTAGAATGCCTCTTCTTACTCTTTGATTTGGGAGTTTTATCTTTAGATGCCAGGCTGGCCTGTGCAGATGCTTTTCTTGACTTGAATGTTTTAGTTACTGTTGTTGGATCTACTGGGTCAGGCATACTGCTAAAGCTTTCTAACGACTCTTCATCAAACTGGCGTCTTCTCCTACTGGTATCTAATTGATTTTTGCGATTACTATTTGTTGTTTTCTTTACAGACACTGCACATCCAGTCTTGAGAGATGGTTTTTCTACTTCACCTTCTTGGTCATATAACCATGGTGTCCTACCATTCTCCACCTCCTCTTCAGGCTGTTTTTGATTCCTTACCAATGAAAATAAGTTTTTATATATTACAATGATATATTTCTACATCTACTGAAAACTCCAGATATACTTAATTTATAGTCTACTAGTAGATTCAGGTAAATAAAAACTGTCAACAGGCTATAAAAATATTCCCACAAAATACACATTAAAAATGAAAATGCTGGGGCTTCCCTGGTGGCGCAGTGCTTGAGAGTCCGCCTGCCGATGCAGGAGACGCGG